TGCCCCGACTGGGAATCAAACCGTGATCTTCTGGTTCATAGGTCGATGCTCAACCACTGAGGCACCCTGGCTGGGCTGATCATGTCTGTTTTTATGGCAGTACAGTACTGCTTTGATTGCTATTGCAATTTGAAACCAGGAAGTGTGATGCCCCCACCTTTGTTCTTCTTGCTTAAGATTGCTTTGGCTATCTGGGGTCGGTTGGGGTTGCATACCAATTTTAGGACAGTGTTTTCTATTTCTGAAAAATGCCATTAAAATTTTGATAGGGATTACGTTAAATCTGTAGACCACCGCTTTATGACATTGCTTTTTACAATGTGGATGAACCTGGAGGGCATTGTGCTAAGTGAAATAAGCCAGATGGAGAAAGACAGATGCTACAGGATATCACTTATATGAAGAATCTAAAAAGATTGAACTTGTAATAACAGAGAGTAGAACGGTGGTTACTGGGGATGAGCTGGGGGAAATAGGGAGATTTTGGTCAAAAGGTACAAACTTTCAGCTTTGAGAACAATGAGCTCTGGAAACCTAATGCATATTTGAAAGTTGCTAAGAGTGTATGTAGATCTCAAATGCCTCACCACACACACACACACACACACAAAGGTAACTATGTGAGCTGATATGTGGCTTGATTTTGGTAATTATTCTACAATTTTTACATGTTGTGTACCGTAAATATATAAAATTTTTATTTGTCTATTATACCTAAGTAAATTTGGAGGGAGGGAGATGAATGCAAAGGGAAATTATTGGAAGTTGTTAAGCATAGGTGTGATGTGAGTTTTCTTTAGGCTCAACTTGGTGGCTGTGAGGACAGGAGGGAACCCGGACAGCAAAGGGCCACTCTGTCGTCCAGACAGGAGATAAAGGTGGTCAGTGAGCCTGAGGCAAGGAGGTGTGATTTCAGAGGTGGACCCACCAAGACGTGCTGATGTGTGGGGCCTGGGGACAGCAAGCGAGCCAGGGTCACGCCCAGGTTATTGACTAAGCAACTGCTCAGATGGTGTGGCCATAAAAAGGCTGTGCTTGGAGGGGTGGGGTGAGGGGACTGGGAATTAGAAAGATTGGGGTCCCCTTGAGCTAGAAATGGCTTATAGCCATCAAGAAGTCACACAGGAGGTGCCTGAGTCTGCAGAGTGTATAATTGGAGTGTAGGTAAGACCGTCCTGTAGATACTTTTACTGAAGGCTGCCCTGATGGCGTGAGGGGCAGGAGCCCAGCAGCAATGTGTTCTAGGAGGGCTCTGCTAATCTATACTAATAAAAGGGTAATATGCTAATTAGACCGGGTCAACCGGACATCTCCCAGATGTCTGACTTACATCCGTACAAAGCCACAGTGGCAGGGGCTGAGGCAGAGGAGGGTGATCAGGCCGGCAGAGGAGCAAGCAGTTAGGGGCGAGATCAAGCTGGCGCAAGGGAGCAAGCAGTTTGGGGACGATCAGGCCAGCAGGAGAGGGCAGTTAGGGGGCGATCAGGCAGGCAGGCGAGCAGTTAGAATCCAGTGGTCCTGGATTGTGAGAGGGATGTCCCAGATTGGAGAGAGTGCAGGCCGGGCTGAGGGAAACTCCCCTCCACCCCCGCCCCGTGCACGAATTTTGTGCACCAGACCTCTAATAATAATAATAATAATAATAATAATAATAATAATAATAATAATCCTATATAATAAAAGCATAATATGCTAAATGTTCGGTCAGCCTGTCAGCCGTTCATCAAAGTGTAATATGCTAATGATATGCTAAAACCGCTCAACCGCTCACTATGACGTGCACTGACCACCAGGGAGCAGATGCTCCAACTGGTAGGTTAGCTTGCTGCTTGGGTCAAGCTGTGGAGCCCTCCTGCAGTCCCTCCCTGGCTGGTTAACCTCCCGCATCCCTCCCTGGCCCGGATTGTGTACTGATGGGGTCCCTCAGCCTGGCCTGCGCCCTCTCGCAATCTGGGATCCCTTGGGGGATGTCGGAGAACCGGTTTCGACCTGATTCCGTAGGCCAGGCTGAGGGACCCCACTGGGTGCATGAATTTGTGCACTGGGCCTCTAGTAATAATAATAATAATAATAATAATAATAATAATAATAATAATAATAATAATAATAATAATAATAATAATAATAATAATAATAATAATAATAATAATAATAATAATAATAATAATAATAATAATAATAATAATAATAATAATAATAATAATAATAATAATAATAATAATAATAATAATAATAATAATAATAATAATAATAATAATAATAATAATAATAATAATAATAATAATAATAATAATAATAATAAAAGGTTAAGATCAGGTTTTCACTATACTTTGTGTCTGGAGTTCCGTGCTGAGCTTCAGAGTTTGAAATTTCTAGGAAAGCAAGAATTTCTGGAAATCCTGGCACAGGGCAGGGATTTTCATCTCTTGGGGGAAACTGCAGTTTCCCCACAACCATTTAGTGAAAAGATTACCCTTCCCTCATCGAGTAACCTTGCTCCTTTGTCATAAATGAACTGACCATGTATGCATGAGTTTATTTCTCATGCATATACGGTCATTTACCAAGTTTGACTTCTGAATTTTCCAGGAGGGCGAAGGGGGAGACATTTCAAAGTGGGAAGCCCTTTCTGCAGACGGTTTGGTCCAACCCCATTCATCTTTATACCATAAAATGGCATAACGTTGATAGCAAACTCGTCTCATGTAGCTCCTCACAGCTACCAAGGTTCCTCAAGCCAAAGAAACAACTCCACTTCCATTTCATTGTGGTCTGTGCCTTCTTCTCCCCGATATTTTACATTCAACCAACTCCTGCCAAAACCCATTTTCTTTCCAGTTGATGAACCTGAACAGGCTGTGTAGGAGTCAGCATTTTGTTTTCTCCCCTAGATCTCATTACTTCTGAGCCCCCCTGGTTGCTAACCCAGTGTCTATCAGCTAGGACGACACTCCACTGCACTATGGCTACCCGGAGCGAGGAGGGACAGTCACGGGTTTGCAAAGTCGCCCAGGGCTGAGAGGCTTCCCTTTCCGATCAGGATTTGAAAATTGGATAAGCTCATGTTTTCTTCTTGGAGGATCTGGTTAGAAAAATTCAATACCTATTGTCAGAGCTCTGAATCTTTCCTTCAGATGTTGGGACAGGAGGTGCAACTCTGGGTGAGTCTTAACTCTGTTTGCTAAACGATGGCGATTGTATCAATTGTTAACGCTTGTTATAAAGCATCCCATATCTGGGGGGAGGGACTATGCTTACCCTCGTTTTATATCTGGGGAAACAGGGCACGGGCCGAATCTGATTGTGTTTACCCAGCGTGGCTCACATATAAGGGTGTCCCAAAATTCACGCAAGATTCGAATTTTGCGTGAGCATTAACAACAACAACAACAACAATAAAAAAGCCTAATTTTACTTGGTTTATTGAATCAGATTCTCATATCTGTTGCCCTTTGATTTCAATCCCTTCAATTTGATAAGCATTACCAAGTACCAATGATGGCCCAGGAGCAGGGACAATGAAGACCAATGAAGATCACGGCTTTGCATATGTGCCAGCAAAGCCGTGGAGGACGTTTACCTGATGGGCTATTCCATACATAACCTTATACTGTATACTTTATGAATCAATAAAAAATTTACAATTTTTAATTATAAACCTGTGTTTTCTATCAAAATCACTTCTTGCGTGAATTTTGGGACACCCTATAAATGGTGAACAGAGGCTTACTTTTTAAATGGCTGTATCGTTTTATCCTTGTTTTCTGTTTAAGATGGTTCTGGGTTTCTATTCAGGAAAAGTGGTAAAAAGTTTTCAGAAAGCGAGTTAACCAAGAAAATCAGTTGCGCGCAGCCACAGCAGAAACCGTAAGGGTCCTAGTGGCCTCTAGGTAACTATTTTTTGTGGGGCTCCTGTTTACATAAGCAATTTGAGGCACCCTCAGATTGATGTCTCAGCGCCATTCTGGTGGACCAATCTCCCATGATCCCACGGGGAAAAAAGGAAAAGGACTTAGGGGCTGGCCATCAGGGGCAGTCTGCTCACCAGGAAGCTCCCTGGAAACCGGTCTGGACCCTTTAGGTGCAGGTTCTGGAGCTCTTTGGAGCATCTGGTTGACTTGGTGCCCTGAAGGGAAGAAGTGGGAGCCAGCTGGTCCCTGTCACTAGAGGGCATTTCAAGGTCGGTGCTTCCAGCATCAGCACCTATGCATGGCCCTGTATGTGCTGGGGCCCCGCCCATATGGTAATGCTGGCTGCAGACCCTGGGAGGAGGCTTGGAAAATCCCCAAGGAGGCTTTCCAAGAGCAGGGGTGAGTGGTCCCTGAGGCAGGGGGCGGGCACCTGCTTGCCTGGGGCTTACGGGTAGCACTGAGAGTAGCATGAACATTGAACAATATTGTTAAGACTTAAATAGCAACAACTTCCAAACCTCTTAGGTGCTGTCACTATAAGGTGAGGGCGGAGGGCGTAGTTGTTGTAAGCCAGCTGGAAAGTTCTAGTATTTGTAATATCTAATTGTAAAATTCTGTTTGTGGGTTGATGGTAAAGGGTAACCTTTTTTTTTTTTTTTTTTGAACTTGGAATTTTATAAGATGTTTAAGCAGAGATCTGCTTTTGCGTTCTGAGTGGCCAGCTCAGCCCCGTTGGCTGTAAATGCTCTGGGACCCCCTATGAGGTGTGAAGTGAATGGTTAGGCGTTATAAACCTAACTTACCTGGGTGCTCCTTCTAGAGGCCTAGGGACGCTGGCGATGGCAGGGCCATGAGGGACAGGGGAATCTGACAAATGCAGGTGACCGCACGGCTCTGCGGTGTCGGGCAGGTGGCTTCTGCGCCCCAGTGTGAGGCGTGAAGTGAATGGTTCCCCCTCAGAGGGCTGAGATGAGGAGTAAACATACGCATGGTGTGTGTACCCCCAAAAGGCTCCCTGCTGTGTGAACTCAACACAGAAAGGGGATTCTTGAGCAGCCTGCCTCTCCAGAGAAACGAGACACCAAAGTAGCCGGTGCTTTCAACTCTTTTATTGCTAAACTATCATGATACAAGCCGTATAAAAATACTTTACAGATAGCAAAAATAAACTACATTAAACTGGAGATTAAAAACGTCTTGCATAGGAATGTGATGTATTCAAACTCCTTTAACAGTCGATGTTCAAAACCTAAGCCTCCCAGCAGCACCAGTTGGAGAGACGTGGATCGCGAGGAACTCAGGTGGACATTCTCAGCCCTCTCTCCCCTCGGAGGGCCGCGGCGGCCACTGGGGTAAGTGAGGTTCTGCCCATGTGTTCAGGATGCTAAGCTCGGCCAACCACAGCCAATCAGAATGCTGGAAGCACCTCCTCTCCTGGAAGCAGCATCATTTGCATCCAGTTCATGCAAACCCTGAAGAGGCAGGTGTTTATTCTCCTCGGGCAACAGCTGCGTTCGACCTTTCCCCCGGCACCCAGCACCCCGGCTCCGCCTTGGGAGGGACTTGCTCAAGGAGCACCTCTAGCTCACCAGCACCAGAGAAGTTTGTTTTTGAACAAACTGAGTTAAGACAGTGATGTTGGCTGTAACTCGGGGACTCGGGAAAGCTGGGGGGATGGGTGCCTGCCATCCCAGCTTCCCTTTAGCTGGGATGCAGGAAAACACGCGCATTGGCCGGTGGGGCTCCGTGGGCCTGAATGCCCAAGTCTCAAGCTTGGAAGACACCAGGTCAAGGTGTGTTGGGTGCCTGCTAGAGCGCTGTCCTTCCAAGAATATAAGTTCAGGAACGTTTATTGCCCTGCTTGCCAAGAATGTCACCACCCCCTGCTTTTTGTAAACACGAAGCGAGCAGTTGTTAACCAGACCCCTGACACTCTTTCCATTTTGAACAATAGAAAGCACTTGGGAAGTGTCTTTTGACATTAAAATAAACAAATTCTGCCTCGCTTTCGTCCAGAGTGACAATCAGAACACATTGGTTTCCGATCTGTCTCAATGGGGCAGCCGCCACCTCGGCCGAGGCTGATGTAAGCAGGAAAAGCACTCCAGTGCTTCCCAGCTCTTAGAAGGAACCAGGCATGTCATCAGAGGCCGTGTCCTCTGCATAATGTGTGTGTGTGGGGGTCATCTACCGGGATTCAGTCAGCTCTGTAAACATTAGCCTGCACTTGGCGTTCTGTGAACACGGGTGCTTCCGGAATCCCCTTACAACACAGGCAGGTGTTTGATACCATCTACTTACTGGGGGATCTAAACACTTTACAATACAGTTCCCCTTGGTGACAAGATTGAGGCTCAGAGCTGGAGTCAGGCAGCGTTGGTCTCAAGCAAGACAGGTGGTTCCTTCTGCCACAAAGCCACTCCCCCTCTCTCCGGAGATGCTTCTGTCTGGGAGACAGGTGACTAACAGGCTCTGAGGTGGGGTTTTTGTCTTGTTTCCTGGAATGATTAACACCTTTTCAAGAATACATCATCTCTCTTAGGGGGGAAAAATCAACATAGATGTTAAAAGATACACTGGAAAAAGACTTCTGACCATTTATAAATATTCTTCTAATTCCAACCGGGGTGCACTATGGTGAGGACAGATAAAAAGCATAAAAATACAGATAAGAAAATAAAATTTAATGACATACTAATTAATTTGGATCGCTATTATATATTATCAAGCAGCAGTATTTTTGTACAACGCGGGAAGACTGGCAAACTTTGGAGATAGACTACATTCAGCAACACGGTAGGTCTCTGCTAGAAGTGCTACCTGTCGCACTGACCTTGAAAGTAGCAAGTGCAAACATCCACCTCACCGAGGTCCTTCTAACACATGGGCAACACACACCCCTCCACCATGTAGACGTCCCTGCTTTCTCCTTCTCTTAGAGGACTCGGCGGCCTCTTCCCATCCTGAAAGTAGTTCATGAGCAATTACTCTTGGCAAAATTTCCTCCGGCATCTGTAACTGACAAAACTTTCTCCATAGCTGTCGGCTCCTAATAGCATGTTTGCTTGCCTATTTATGTCTCAAAACGAACGTCCTTGCTTCTCTTTCCTTTGCTGTCTGGGATCGTTGTTTTGTGGAAATGCTTCCTATAATATCCAGCTAAGATGTCTTAGAAAAAGAGAGTTTGTGTGTGTATAACACACACACACACACACACACACACACACGTGTACATACAGGGGTCTGAACTCACAGGAGGCCCTTGCCACTCACATGGTTAGAAGATGGATGGAAAACGCATTAGCCCTTTTTCACCCCATGCTCAGGGAAGCTGAGCGACTTTGCTACAATAGCAGGAAGGCACTTGGTAAGACATTCAGATAGCCGAGGAAAGGCCAAATTTCCTCATGTGCAAAAGAAGTGGCTCCTGGCCAGGTCCGCGAGAGGACGTCACTCGCCGCGCACTCGAACTCTTCCCGGTGAAGTCAGTGTTGCTGGCGAGAAAGGTCTTTGGGTAGAGCTGCTTGTGGAAGGATCTCTATGAGGAAGAATTCTGCATCCCCGAAGCTTTGCAGCAGCGGTCGCCTTCTTACTGGCATTCCGTCTGTTTCAAAGGATTTTTGCTAAACTTTGTGCTTGGGTGGGTGGAGGCGTGGGCCTCTGCCCTTGGGGTCAAAGGTTATCTTGAGCAAAAGGTGATAGACAGGAGGGTGCAAAGGCCCAACCTGGGCATTCTGTCCTCCCTCTGGGGCACCAAACACACCGGGCCATGGTCACCAAGTCCTGCACTCCGGGCCCGGCTCCCGGGGACGTGTGACCTCTGGGGAACCTCCATGAGAAAGCCAGCACTGAGAAAACCCACAGGGGACCCCCACCTGCCGTGATCCCCTCTACCTAGCGGACTTGATCGGAAATCTCTGGGGCACAGCCTCTCGCAGAGCGCCAGGCATACACTCACTGTTGGTTACTAGGGAAGCCACTGAGTGGATGAGAACGAATCCCTGGCGCGTCCTGGGGTGTCTGCAGGAAATGCAAACAAAATACATCTTTGTGATAAAAACTCACCTGCTAAGAACTTTGAGAGTTTTGTTGGCAAAATTGCACCAAAGGAGGGAGGTGCTGGAGGACCCTGGATGTGCCCAGGGGAGAGAAACGAGGGGGCGGGGCCACGCATACCTAAGGGTGCACCGTGGGTGGGCCTGCCCTACTCAGATGAGTCCTGTGCTGGAGGAGGCAGCTGTGCAGAAAGGTCTTTGGGGCTGAGTGGGGCTTTCAATAGGTTCAGGTCAAAATAACCAATGACCTTCAGGGCCAGATCCTGAGCTTGCGTGTCCCACTTGGAGTCTAGGCCAGAAAGAGGGAATTCAGCCCTTTCCCCCTGCTATGGGAGCCCACTCACTCAGGCCTGCCAACTGCCTCTTTTCACAACCGCTTCACAAAAATACCTGTGCTTTTTTTTGGGGGGGGGGGGGTTGCTTTAGCCCTGTGCCATTCCTTCTGAAAATGCAATGCACATGCGTGGGAGTCTCGTAACGCCTTGATGGGAAAGCACTCTGGCTGTTAGGAAGAAAGCACGGGGACGTCGCAGAGCCGTTAGGTTGTGGCTGCAGCCAGGGCGCTCACTCTGCCGCCGGGGTCACCTCCAGTCCGGGGCGCGCTGCAGGGCAGGAGCTGCTGGCCAGGGCGGCGCCACCTCCAGCCACCTCGGCCAGCCTCATGAAGCAGGGAAAAAGCATACATGTCATAACTTAACTCCAAGAAGTTCTAACGGGGGATCTTGTAGGGGCCAGACAGTTGTGCTTCCGGATGAGAATTTAAGAAGACGTGTTAGCCGTGGCCCCGCTGTGGCACACCCGGGTGGCCCTAAGGACGACGGGCTGGCCTCTGTTTCTTCAGCCTGTGAGCTGGACGCTTGGGCCACCTTCCTTTGCCTGTTCTGTTTGGGAACGCCTCTCCTCCGGAAGGTGCGGGGCTGGGAAATGAGTCGAGGAAGGGGGTTTAACCACAGGGCTGCGTCTTCCATCCCCCACCAGCCGTGCCGTGAGCTCGTCACTCGCTCTCAGGTGCGGTCCGGCGTGCTGTCTTGATCAGAATTTGGTTTTGGTCAGCAGGCACTTAAGGTTTGGACGGGACACCATTAAAGTCCACTGAGATGCTCTTTGGGATTTAAGACAAAAAAAAAATCAAAAGGCAGAGTGCCCTCGCTGTGTTTCCGGAGAGAGGTGGCGAGCTCCTGGACCAGTCGGCTGCCTGCCCCGAGGAGCGCTGCCCATGTGGGACTCCGGGCGGGCGGGGACCGTCAGGAAGACGGGAGGGGCGTGGAGGGCTCCGAGGGGACAGGTACGGAAGGTGTCTTGCTAATGGCTTCTTCTACGTCTGATTTCTGGTGGGGGGTCCTGAAAACTCCTTCCTGATGATTTCGTTAACTACAAAAGAAAAGAGAGAGAGTAGGGGCGAGTGAGAGGCACCAACACACAGATCAGATTCACTTTCTAGAGCCAAAGACGATCGGGGTGTTTTTTTTTTTCAAAACACATTTTTGTTCTCTGCAATAATAGGTTTGACAGTTTTTAACATACGAAATGCCTTCCTATGGATTTGTTGGGCAAAGTTGTCTAAACGGTAACTTTAGAAAAATCATGGCAGAAATGGAGTTGGTCCTTGTGGCAGGTTTTCAGTAAGTTTCTCTCCTCCTGTCTTTTAATTTTTATCTTTTAAAAATATTTTTATTGATTTCAGAGAGGAAGGGAGAGGGAGAGAGCGATAGAAACATTAATAATGAGAGAGAATCATTGACTGGCTGCCTCCTGCATGCCTCACACTTGGGATCAAGCCTGCAACCTGGGCATGTGCCCTGACTGGGGATCGAACCGTGACCTCCTGGTTCATAGGCTGATGCTCAACCACTGAGCCTTGTCCATAGCCTAGCTTCCCTCTGTTTATTTAATGCGCTGTAGGCTCCCTATTGCACACCAAACTCCTTCCATTATCACGACATCCAGGAAATACCTATTACATGACTGAAACACAGTTCCTTGACCCACAGCATGTACAGCCCCCAAAAAAGGCCTTTAAAAGGACAGTGGGGGGGACACCACAGACAGACTGGCCACCAATGTACACATCATCTCTTTCAGCACAACCAGGAACCCGCCCCACGTGGCGAGTTTTCTCAAGTAGAAGGTGGCCTCTTCCTCCAGGACACAGCACCAGCTCTCCTCTCCCGTGTGGGCCACTTATCAAGGATGCTACTTCCTGGAATCAAGGCAGTGAGGTCTTAGAATAGTGGGCCTTGTGAAAGCTTCCTTTTGCGTTCTTAGAAAGAAGACCCTGCCATCAATGCGGCCCAACAGGGTGTGCACCTGCCCCAGGGGTGTGCACACCTTCGGGTGGGCAGTTGAGCGGTCCCATCACAGGTACATGAACCTCCCTCTCCTTGTTCTGACACTGAGTCCTTCCCACAGCCGCCTCCTATCTTCTCTTCTCATCTTAGCCTCACCTACAATTTGAGACGGAAAATTGGAAGTAAGGGTTCACTGTGGAGATTTGCTCAAAGTCTCTCCCTGTTCAAGTTGGGTCCTCCTAGGTCCAGGGATGAGTCTGCAACACCCGAAATAGGAGGAGAGCGCGTGTACACTGCTTTAGAGCTGGACGAGTCAGGCGTGACTCAGCTCCCTCACAAAACTGGCTGCCGTGTGACTTGACCTCTCTGTGCCTCGGTTTTCTCGTCTGTAAAGTGGGGATCATAACAGTGTGTGCCCTTTGGGGTGGATGTGAGGCATGATGGACATACAAACTCCTTGCACCGGCCTGGTGAGGGGGTTCTGTCGCCGGTGGCTGCGATGGTTAGCGATACCCCCGCACTTTGTGGGGGGTGCTGGGCTCAATGCTTTCTTTTGCACCAGCAACCAGTCCGGCACGGCTCGCTATTCTGCAGAGGGATGCCGAGAGCACGTGCGAGGCGAGAGTCCAGGCTCCAGAGCCTGCCGGCCAGGGTTAGAGTCTTGCCTCTGCCAGTCCCTGTTTGCTGAACCCTGCCTGAGTGATAGAAGTACTTTGTGCCTCAGTTTCCCCATCTGTAAACTTTATATAAAAATGTTACCTTCCTCTGAAGGTTGTTGAGGAGCTTGGATAAGATGATACAAGTGACAGTTACCACAGTGGCCAGTGTTTAGCAGGTATTGGTTTGTAGAGTAATATGTATATATGTGACATGTATGTACATATTCGAATATGATCCATGTATGTTCATGCATGCAAATGTATGTTAGAATAACAAGCATTTCCAGTGTGGAAAAGGGTCCATGAGTTGGAACTCAGAGGATGAATGGACAGATTCAGCTAACCAGCATTAATTGGGCACCTACTATATGCCAGGTACCAGGGGAATTCTGGGAGCCCTACATCAGGCACCAATGGTGAATGGCTGCCCCAGTCCTGCCCCTCAAGAGCCCTCTGGGGCCTGGTGAGCCAGGGCCTTTGTGAGGCCCCATGAAAGCCTGGTGCCAGGGGGCAGGGGGTCAGCTCAGCTTCAGTGAAGCTTTTCAAAGCCCGGATTCTGAAGGGCTTCCTGTTTTCTCAACCTAGGAAATGAGAGGAGTCGATCCTCAGTGGGAACTTTCCACCGCCTTGGCTTCTAAAAATAGCCGGTGGGCAGAGCCGCTGGCATCAGGGCACTCAACAAGGGCCGGTTCCCTGATCAGAACCCAGGGCTGGGGGGGCCAGGGCAGGGGGTGGACGCTGGGATACAAGCTGCTTTCCCTCCTGCTGGCTGCGAGCGACTCAGGTAGAAGCCCAGTTGCCTCTGGAACGTGCAGGAGCTGGTGCACTTACTTCGACGGCCCGCCCTCAGGGCCAGGAGGTGGCCGGGCAGTGAGGCCCACGCAAACCCATGACACCTCCCGGGAGAGGAACACTCTCTTCCTGAAACCTCAGCGCTTGCTCCCCTGGCTGTGCACGGGAGAAAGTTCTAGTGCACAAGCGCCAGCTGGTGGTAGCCATGACCGTGCAGGCGCATCAGTCTGGAGACTAGGGCTCCGAGCGCTGAGAAGGTCCGTGCGTGACTACTTCATCCCGACTCGGTCTCCTGCCTGCGGGAGCTCCCGCCTTCGCAGACCCAGGTGTCCTGGCTCAAGGACGAGAGACAGGGAGCTGCCACTGCCTTTGCCTCCATTCCATGGTGTCCACCTGGTATCCCTCCCTTTGTCTCTCCCACCTTTTGTCCTTGGGGAGACCGAGGGTCCCCCCCTCTCAGCCCTGCTGTCCCCTCATTCTCGCATCCTTAGTCTCACTCCCTTGCTCTGAACCCCTCCATGCACTTAAGGCCTCCCTTCTCCTAGAACCCTGCTCTGAGCCTGGCCTCCCCCTGCTTCCCTGCAGGCCCTGTGACCTGGCCCTGCTGCCCTCCCCCGACTGCATGCCAACCACACCAGCGTCCCGGGCCCTGCGCCCCACCGTGCCCAACTCGTGCCCCAGAGCCTCTGCTTTTCCTCCTCACTTCATTCATGGCTCCGCCTGATGGTCTCTTCTGGGAGGCTGCCCTGGTGGCGATGCGCAGTGCCCCTCCCCATGGTGGGGTCCCCTCGTCTCCTCTATCAGTTCCTGGGAATTCTCTGGTGCTTTGTTAATGTTCTTGCCCCCACCCCATGCACCTAGCTCTGTAACAGTGCCTGGGTACACAGGAAGTGCTCACTAACATGTATTGACAAATGAGAACAGTGACGCTTAGACAGGGGTTACATAGCCTCAGGTCACCCTGGCCTTTGTCCCCAGGTCTGACTCTGAGGCCTAAGCCCTGAACCCCTTTTCTATGCCATTGCCATCAGCATTTCATCCATTCAATACATGTTTTGAGCATCTATCCTATGCCAACCTTTCCTCCCACTTCTTCCCAAATTGGCCACGTGCAGTTCTACCACTAGCCCCAATCCTTGTTCAAACCCTAGCTTCCCTCCTGCCCATCCCTACAGGCCATCACACCCCTACCAGGGGGCCCTCACTCCCTCCGGAAGCAAGCACAGTTGACCCGTGAACAACACGGGGGTTAGCACCGACCCCCTGTGCAGGTGGAAAGTCCACATAGAACTTTTGATTCTCCCCCAAATTAACTACCAATAGCCTACTGTTGATCAAAGCCTTACTGAAAAACATAGTCAACACAATTTGTAAGCTGTATGTATTGTATACTCTATTCTTACAATAAACTAAGCTAGAGAGAAAAAATATGGAGAAAATACGTTTACAGTATTTATTGAAAAGAATCCATGGATAAGTGGATCCACAGAGTTCAAACCCATGCTGTTCAAGGATCAACTGCATTGAATTCTCAAAATGCTTTGCTCGCCTCTCCTCTGCCAGGTTACTGGAGTCACCTGTGTCCTCACTGTACCATGGACTGCACCATGCACACAGCAGGTGCCTAATGCATGTATCTTAGCCCACCACAAGGACCCCACACCAGCAGCCTAGGTCACTTGGTTTAGGGAAGCTGATTTTCCTTTGTTATCTGATTGACAAATTGGTTGCCTGTCTATGACTTGTCTAAAGCATTTTCTCTACAAAAGAATGGAAACCATTCACATTTATTGAGGGTGAACTGTGTGTCAGGCACTGTTCTAAGGGCTAAGTTATTTCTCACACCAAACCTAGTCATAGAATATGCTTACTCTATGGATGGGGAAACAGAGACAGGCAGTCCTCTGCCATAGCAGGTGAGGGGATCAGGACCGGAACCCAGGACCCATTTCACAAACAGGGACACTATATGGCGGGTGGTACAGAGACCGTGCTATTAAGCTCAGTAATCGTCACCCTTCTTATGGGGCCCTGGAGTCCTCAGTGGCTTTTGTGTGAGTCAACAGCAGAGAAAGCCATGAGCCGAGTGGTTAAGGTGGTCACTGAGTATCACTTTCTCAGAACAGAATTGAGGCCAGTGGTGCTAGGTCTGCCACAAGCACCCCTGACCTTTTATCCCCGTAGAGGCACTGTGATGAAAACACCGATGAGGAACACGTCTACAACCTCAGGGTGATCACTAAGCCTGACTCTTAAGGCCAAAGCCAGAAAGGAAAAGATGGACAGATGTAAGTACATAAAAGTTATACACTTTTCTCTTCAAAATTCCAAATGTTTTCAGTGGGTGACAAAAAGTCATTCATATATAAAGAGGTATTACAAATCAACAAGAAACTAGAATTCTTCTAATATATGGCCGTAGACATAAGGAGAATATCTGAGGGGTCACTAAAGTTTTCCTGTAAAGGGCCAGATAGAAACATTTTAAGGGGTGATATAGCCCCTTAATCCCTCAGCTCAGTGGTTGGAGCATGAAAGCAGCCCTAGCCATAGACAGTATGTGAGCACATGGGCATAGCTGTGTGCCAATAAAACTTTATTTACCAAAACAGGCCGGGAACCAGATTTGGCC